GCTGGCTCATCTGTGTGACAATGGGCAGATCTAGGATTTTGAAAAGGGAAGTACAGATGATGTAGTGCATCATCATCATCATCATATATAAAACAACACATGCTTTTTCTCCAGTTAAAAAGGAACTGAAAACTTTACTATTAAGCTAGGGGCCTAGGGCTGTATTCTTCAGTTTAGAATCAAAGAAAAAACAAAAATAATTTGATTGGAATATGCATTAACTTGCTATATCATACATTATATAACAAACTAGGGAAAATAATCAAAAGTTGTTTCCTTAGTCCTGTAGTCATTAGAATTAAATGTCTCTTATTCAGATTCGTAAAACAAAATCTAGCTGCCTTGACAGTGTATCCAATGCTTCACTGAAAGCTATTTCCTCACCTGTATTAATGTTCACCTTAATTAACATTCTGCACCTGAGTTAGTGTTGTAGTAGGGCTGTGCGAGGCTTTGGACAGAGCTCTGGATCCAGAGAAGCTTCGGATGCTTCGGTGTCCAAAGCAGCATGTCTGAATCAAAGCGCTGGCCTTGTTAGGCTTCCCAAAGCGGGTGGTTTGGAGCTTCCAAAGCACTTCGGAAAAGCTTCGGAGCCACTTTGGAGATCTGGCTATTGGGTATAATGGGGAAACAATGAAAATCTATAACCTTGTTGTTTTTTGTCCGACTTGGATGAAATTTGCAGAGATTGTAGTCTCTGCTGAGAGCATGAAGCCTGCCAAGTTTCAATAAGATTGGTGCAGGTATTCAGGAGGAATTGCACCCCAAATTCTGAAAGCAAAACTCATGTCACATGTACGTGTTACACCACAGGGGGGTGAAAACTGCAGGGGTGCTGGCCCTGGATAAGGCCACAAAGCCTGCCAAGTTTCAAGAAGATCGGTGCAGGGGTTTGGGGGGAACTGCCCTCAAGCTGTGGACAAGCAAAACTCGTGGCATGGGTGACACTGCGTGTGTTAAAGCAGCAGGGGGGTGACAGCTGCAGGGGTGGTGACCCCTGCTGTAGCCACAACACCTGCCAGCTGTGGAGGAGATCAGTGCAGGGGGTTCTGGTTTCTGGGGCCCTGCACCCCTAGCTGCTGACAGGCAAAACTCGTGCCAGGGGTGCTTGTGCAACTGACTGTCTCTGTGTTGGGGCGTGGGAGACACTACTGCAGGCCTGGCTGCTAAGCTACTGTGTTACTAGTTACCAATCAGTCATGATTCACTCAGTAAACAGCTCAATACACAGGACGTAGCTAATGTAACCAGTTAATTACCATCAATTAACACCTACAAAAGCAGAGACTAAGGAGAGGAAATAATCAATACAGACAATCAACTGCCCCAAGACAGTCAGTCCCACAAGCATCCATGTCCCGAGTCTTGCCTGTCAGCAGCTCGGGGTGCAAGGCCCCAGAGCCCCCTGCACCGATCTCCTCCACAGCTGGCAGGTGTCACAGCAGGGGCCACCAGCCCTGCAGCTGTCACCCCATTGCGCCTTAACACACAAAGGGTCACCCCTGTCATGAGTTTTGCTTGTCCGCAGCTTGAGGAGCAGTTCCCCCCAAACCCCTGCACTGATCTTCTTGAAACTTGGTAGGCTTTGTGGCCTCACCAGGAGCCACCATCCCTGCAGATTTGACCCCTTTATGTTGCAACACATAGAAGTGACATGAGTTTTGCTTTCAAGAATTTGGGGTACCATTCCCCCAAAATACCTACACCGATATTCTTGAAACTTGGTAGACTTCATGCTATCATCAGGGGCCACCATCCCTGCAAGTTTCATCCAAATAAGATAAAAAACAACAAAGTTATAGATATTTCATTGATTCCCCATTATACCCTATGGCCAGATCTCCAAGGTGGCTCCGAAGCTTCGGAGCCGCTTCGGCCGAATGGAAGCAGAAACCTTGTCCGGAGCTCCAGATCGAATCTCTGGCATCTGAAGCAGCCGGATCTGAAGCCAGATTGGATCACTGCCAATTCGCACAGGCCTAGTGTCTAGCTAGTTAGAAAACAGTCTGCAGGGCTGAGGAAAAAGAAGCTACCTTATCAGGAGCAGCTTACAGACGGCAGAATTGCAAAGCAAAGGACAGCTTGATTAGTGGAACCACTGAAGACCACTAAAGAAGAGAGGTTCCTTAACACCTGTGGAATTAAATGTTTTGAAGAAATCTGGTACATTATGATGATGATGAGCCGTGAAGTCTTTTGACTCTTACTCCTGCCTCAATCGAAATGCTGCTGCCACTGCCAGGCAGTTTGTTTTAAACTTTGGGTGGAGCAGGAATCAAATGAGAGGTGCAACAGGACCAGTGCACCCTGCCCTGGATCTACCCCTGTTGCCTTCAGAACATAGAAGGGGAAGTGATAACTCATTATTATTTATTTCTGTTCTCATATCTCCTGGGAATTATTGCATCTGTAGACTCCAAATGAGACCTGATCTGGGTCAGGCTGAGCACTGGACACAAGCAGGCTGAGATCCTGGAGCAGTTGAGTATCTAAAGGGAGGAGATACGCAGGAAGGAGACAAAGCCTGAGGGACAGCCAGGTCACACACAGTGGGGTGGAACCTAAGTGCTCCAAGGCCAAGCCCTCTGCCCTGACCAGTAGACCATGCTGCCTCCCTTGCAGCACCAAGCACTGATGAGGTACCTGTGGGAGAAAGGAAAGCTTCCAGAGTAAGCAGTCCCATGCCTGTCAAGGAGATGAAGCTTGCATGGGGATGCTGAATTCCTGGGTGGGTCCATGGGGGGTTAATTCAGCTGCCCAGCCTATATGCAAAGAGCTCACTGTGCTAAAAACTGTGAGCATCCCTATACCTGGCCTCCTACAGATAGTACACTATTCTGCCAAGGACACATGCGTCACATAAGCTATGTTGTCCAGAGTCTGTCACTCCTAGCAGGGTCACCCATGGTGAGCAGGGCTGATGGGAGGTTCCAGACAAACCACAGACCAAGCCCCAAGTCCTCAACAATGCATCAGGAGGAAGATGTCAGTATCTCAACCACTGTAAAGATGGAAGAAGGCTGCAGTGAGATGGAGGTCTCCTGTCATCTAGGGTTCTCCCTTGCCACTGGGCTCATATCTCCACCTTGTCAAGATTGTGTGGTTGATGTTTTTGCACTCCAGCTCCTTCGCGTTAAACATTCGCATGCAAGCTACCACAGCAAGCATGCGTTACATGGGATTCCAGCAAAACCATCCACTAGGTGATGCTGAACTATGACAACCTTTCAAGAGGAGGTTGGATATGCATCTAGCTGGGGTCATCTAGACCCAGCCCTCTTTCCTGCCTATGCAGGGGGTCGGACTCGATGATCTATTGAGGTCCCTTCCGACCCTAACATCTATGAATCTATGAACCTGAATGGATTTTTGCATGTGTGGATAAGGACTTGAACTAGCCACAAAGGCATACATTTGTCCTCCCCCTGCTGCCACACAGCCCAGTCCTTGGAGTCTCCCATAGCCCACAGCCTGACAGCAGGCTCCCCAGAGGGCACCGCACTGTGAAAGCTTAGGGCTTCATTTGGGGTAACTCTAACCCTTCCTAACACTAATCAGCATTGCCAATGGCTGCAATTACACTCACACTTATACCAGTTCCTTTCAACCAGTATAACAACTAAACGTTTCAGATCAGTGGGAGTTATGTGTTTGAGCTTTTACATCTATCCTTTGTGGTACCTGGGACTTAAATCACTCGATTAGGTAAGTCTGCCTGAAAATTGACTGTTTTCCCCACCAGATGAAATATACCTATGGTTCATCACCCTGTGATTCAAGTCTCCTACTAGGGTAACAAGATCCAGTAAAAGGACCAAAGAGTTTCAAACACTCTCAATCCAAAACACCCCTGCTTTCATTAGTAAGATTTTATTTCCTGAGTACCCGTGAGGGCACAAAAATACTGCGTTCTCCAAGTAACTCTAGAGCCTTAGGGCTTTGGTGGAAAAGAGAACCCACAGAGATCTACTTCCAGTCAAAATTAAATCATCCAAATAATCTATGTTTATTTAGGAAAAACTTCAGACCTATTTGAAGACTCTAAGTGAAGACAAAGAAAAGCTCCTTGGATTGAAAATGAATGGAGATGAGAGAATCCAGGACTATCTGGTAGGTGGCTGTTGTCTGGCCCAAAGTCTCTGGCCTCATTAAAATGACAGAAAAGGATTTGGCAAAAGAATCAAATTGTTAATTGCTAAGGACTTTTTGAAGGAATAGATCATCATCCAAGAAAACTAAGGAAGTAGAACAAAAGCCTTTGCTTGGTACAAAGCAAGGCTTGGTAGAAAACTAGATAGCATGGGAATGCGCTGGTTTTGGAATGAAGACTTTGAATTTTAGATAAACTAATGTCATCGTAGGAATCAGGAAGGTATGGCTGGAAGGCACCTCACAAGATCACCTGGTCCAGCTCCCTGCTCAAGGCAGGATCAGCCCTGACTTAAACCATCCCAGTCAAGTGTCTAAACCTACTTTTGAAACCCCAAGCATGGAGATCCCACTACTTCCCTAGGGAGCCTCTTCCAATGCTTGACCACCCACAGAGTCAGAAAGTGCCTCCTAATCTCCAACCTGCATTTCCTCTGCTGCAGTTTGAGGCTCTTTCTTCTAGTCCTGGCCCCCACAGCCACAGAGAGAAGCCCATCTCTATCCTCTCTATAATTGTCCTTCAGGTATGTGAAGACTGTTAAAAAACCACACTCAGTCTTCTCTTCTCTATACCATATAACCCTAGCTCTTTCAACCTTGCCCCATAAGTCTTGTCTCTGAAGTGTCTGATCATTTTTTGTTGCCTTGTGCTGGACTCTTTTCAATCTGTCCACATCCTTCTTGAAGTGTGGGGCCTAAAACTTGAAAAGGGCTCCCTGGGAGAACTTGCATTTTAGTGCCCTTTCTTTGAGTTTAAGTATGTAGTAGTATTAGTGAAAGTTTCAGAAATAGAGCCCTGGGGGAGCTACTGAGCTGGATCAGGAAACTTGCTTCCCCATGGGCAAGCACTGCTCCTGCTGTGAACGAATAAATAAGGTGGACTGAAGCAGGTGTCACCGTGCCTGCATGTGTCTGGCCTGGTTTCCTCCTGAGCAGCAGCTGGACACTGCTCCTCCTGCCTGTGGCAGGGATTGGACAGAGCAGGTGGGGTGAAGAGGGGGGAGAGTGCTGCTGTGAGTGTGGGTTGCTCACACATGTGTGCGTATGGGACGCCCCCTTGACCACAGCACCCTGGGCAGTTGCCCATGTTGCCCACCCATAAGGCCAACCCTGGGGACAATTCACTTGTCTTAGGGTGGTGCCCCTCTGACCATGGCATCCTGAGCAGTTGCCCACATCACCCACCCAGAAGGCAGGTACTGGAGATAGTTCAGTTGTCTTAGGGTATGTCTATATGATGGTGGTGTCATGCCCTGCCTGGATTGCTTCCATCATCCCTTGACCATCTACTCCTGTTCACATGGTCCAGACCCAAGGATGCCTTGATGGGGCCTCTTTGGAGAGGTTGCTCTCCAGAGTGGCTAGGGAGGATGTGTTCAGCAGTTCTGTGCCTGAGCCACACTGTCACTGCTGTGTAGAAATGCCCTTTGGGTCTGCAAGAAGTTCTCTTTCCAGCACAGTCAGAACCTTTCGTTATTGGTTTACAGCAAAAGACAGAAGCTGAGAGACAGAAGCTTGTGTCTGAATTTCAACAATTGCACCAATTTCTGGAGGAACAGGAGAGACTCCTGCTGGACCAGCTGGGAGAGTTGGAGAAGGAGATCATACGGAGTCGGAATGAAAAGCTGTCCATGGAGATTTCCCGTCTCAGCGACTTGATCAGTGAGATGGAGAGGAAGTGCCAGCAACCAGCAAGTGAATTCCTACAGGTGAGACTGTAGTAATGACAGCCCAGTGCTCCACACAGGGAAGGAAAGACTCCTGAGTTCTAGACATTGGAGTCCCACAATCAGAGATCAATCCCCCCGCTAACATTAGCTTAGACACCCCCATCACTCTGTGCATATTTATATCCATACTTGCATCCCTAGTATGTGGCATGCAAGACTCAGAGCCTCTCTCTTTCTCTTTCTTTCCTCTCTAGGATGTCAGAAACACCTTGAGCAGGTACATGGTTCCTCTCACCTCTCCTGGCACTGGGAAGGGGTAGCAGACCATGATACAACCACATCTCCCCAGGTTCTGCAGCACAATCGGAGGGGCAAGTCATATTCTGGATACAAGTCTCTCTGGAGAACTTAACCCCAAGGATCTCACTTTTTAGACAAACTCTGGGGTTCTCTATTCTGGTGGATGGATTATTACTAACCTAAAATATTTCCCAGAACTGCTATATACAAGGGGGCACTGGCTGCCCTAAGCATCTGTGTAAGGGGGCCTTTCATTGCTAGATCACTGTCTACAATTCTGTCCAGGTCCAGCAATAACTGAAAACTTCCTCTGGGACATGATAACCTCAGATATTTTTCGGGAATATTAACCTCAGATATTTTTCAGGAATGATAAATCTCCCAGGGGTTTTCTGGATTTCTTCCTTACAACTTTGCCCAGGTTAGGAATGACTGAGAATCTTTTACCAGGGCCTTGTCAGAAACACATGTTAAATGATCTGAGGTAGGGGCTTTTTGATCCTCCAAGTGGACAGATGCCCACAACACAAAACCCATCAGAAATATGAGAGCAAACTGACCATCTGAGCATGGAGGCCAAATGAGACTCAGCCATAAGGGCTTCCTCTTTGAGCCTCAAAGCTGGTCTGGTCTCTTCAGACCAGTGGAAGAATCTTCATAGGATGTTCTGGGGTAAGGTGGCCTGTTTGAACAACGACTGTCACTAGCTAGGAATCAGACTAAATGATTAGAGTTCATTGACAGATGCAGAATTATGTTTTCCAGGTGCAAGAAGGGGAAGTTCCAGGAGCCACTGGAGATTCCCTCTGAGTTGAAAGCAAGACTTGCAGATTTCTCCCAGAAAAATGTTGCCCTAAAAGAGACCCTGAGGCAATTCAAAGGTACCAAGAAGAGCTCTGAGAGGGAAAATGGGGATGAGTCTCTGAGACTGTGGGAGAAAATAGGCTCTGGCCAGTGGGTCAGTAGCTGGATTATTCATAAAAAGTATATAAAGTTGATGGATTGAGCAAGTGTAGTCAGGGCCCAGACATTAGACTAGCTCACATCCTTTGATCTCAGAAATGTTACTGAGGCTGAAATTTAGCAAAATGGCCTACTGAATGCTTTACTATAGCTCTCCCGAGAGAGGCAGCCTCCTGAGATGGCATCATAAATCAGAGGCTATGGAATCCAATATCTGTGACCCTTTTCCCCTCCAGAAACTCTACCATGTGACCTGGAGAAGAGAAGAGGGGAGCTTCTGGGCTCCTACATAAAGGGTAAGTGCTAGTGAAAGCTTCCCTTTAATGAACAACATATTTCCATGAAAACAATCCTCTCCACCCCTGACAACAATGAGAAGCATGAGTATTGCCTGGCACGCAAGTAGCCTAAAGGCAGACCATGTCATTTGGCTTAATATATACCTGCAGCCTTACAACTCAGTTCAGAGGGGGAGTAGCGATCACTACCCTTCCAGCCGCTCTTGTCTTTGTTCCTGGCAGGAGAGGGCCAGTCCTGCCAGTTCTTCTCCACCCTCCTTGTCAGGAAGCAATCCCAGGCTTTCCCAGTACAGTTGATCACTGCTTTATGCTCTGTGAAGAAGCTGCCACCTCCTTTCTCTTTGGGCCTGAAATCACCTGTTCCCACCTTAATTCCTACATAGTGCTTTTGAATGGCTCTTCCTCAGAGCTTCAACCTTATCCTTGCTTCCCTTCTGCTTTGTTGTGCCTCTACTATTGGGAATGGCAGCCCCAGAAGGGGAACAGGGAGTTGCAGCTTCTAGAAACCAACAAGAAGCTACAGAAGGACGAGGAACTGTAGAGCCACGTCAGTTTAATGTTGGGGTCCAAGACGGAGGCAGCTCTTTGGGGTCCAGAATGGTGCCAGCCAGAACAGGGCTACTGGATGTGGGAGGAATGACCCAGCTTGCTCCAGAGCTGATCTCTGCCACTGACACTGTGATTCTCTCTCCCAGTGCATGTGACTCTGGATCCAGACACTGCTCACCCTGATCTTATCCTGTCTGAAGATCACAAAACTGTGAGATGGGGAATGAGACGGCAGGATGTACCCAATAACCCGCAGAGATTTGACACATGGCTGTGTGTGCTGGGCTGTGAGGGATTCACCTCAGGGAAACATTGCTGGGAGGTGGATGTGGAGGTTGGTGGAAACTGGGCTGTGGGAGTGGCTAAAGAGTCTGTGAGCAGGAAGGGACGGATCAGCCTGGACCCTAAGGCAGGGATCTGGGCTATGTGGCAATGCGAGGGCCAGTACCAGGCTCTCACCGCTCCTCGCACTCCTCTGTCCTTGAGCCAAGCACCCTGGCGGATCCGGGTCTGTCTGGACTATGAAGGGAGGCGTGTAGCAGTTTTAGATGCTGATAAGGAAGTACCAATCTTCGTTTTCCCACCTGCCTCCTTCACTGGGGAGAGAATCTGCCCTTGGTTCTGGGTGGGGAGAGGATCCCGGCTCAGACTATGACAGGGGGATGTGTTCTGGGAAAGTATAACAGCTTATGGCCTGGTCAGTTAGACCAGCAATCTTAGACCACCAAAACTGTACACAGTCGGCATGTCTACATGTGAAATTAACGCAAAGCAATAAACTCTGGTACATTTCATGCTGGAGTTTATTGCTCCTGGTGCTGTGTTTACACGTGTTCCGGGACCGCAGCATGTTGAGCCAGGTTGGAACAGCCCCAGCTGGCAGGGGGTCAGCCTGGCAGCCCAGGTTTGCTTGGACCCAGATCAACATGCTGTGGAGGCATTGACTGGGGCATGATGAGGGTGCTTCAGTGCAGAGGTAGCCAGCAGGCAGCCCCTGCACCGAAGCACACTTGTGCCCCAGCAGCATCTACACATACATTGCTGCACACTAAAGAACTCTGCTGCAGGATAGTACTTGTATTTACAAGTACTAATCTACAGAGGAGTTAATTTAGTTTATTGTGGCCTAATAGGGTCACACTATGTAGATGCAGAGATTTTGCTGCAGAGCTAATTAGTCAGTTCCACAGTAAATGCATAGTGTAGACACATCTAGAGCAGTGCTTCTCAAACTATCTGATGTGGCGGACTGGCAATTTTTTTTTCCAGTGGGCCAGGGACCGGTGCCTGGTTCAGCCGGTGGCAGCAACTGCATGTAACAGCGCTACACAAATGCACGACCAGCTGGTTCTTTCTTTCCTCACCTCGCACAACGTGACATCACCTGGAGTGTTGGAACATACGAACTGTGGCGCTATGACATATCAATGTTATGTTTCTGAAAATATATTTCTTTCTTTCCTGGCAACTCGCTGTGGACCGGCGACCGGTGGCTTGCGGACCACCGGCACTGGTCCACGGACCACCACTTTGAGAAGCACTGGTCTAGAGTATATGTCCATACTGCAGCCTTAGGTCTATTAAAATTATTAGTGACTTATGCAGTTTATGCTGTTACTATATGTTCTGAGGTAGATACAAATGGTAATTTTGTTGTTGTAACCATAAAGTAAGGATAGAAAAGCAGGAAAGTAACAAGGAGATATTTTTAGCTGGTGAAGGGAGGGTTAAGAAATCCTCCATCACAGGTGAGACTAGGATGGGGTTCAACGTAGACAAATGCAGGGTGCTGCACCTTGGGAGAAGGAATCCACAGCATACATACAGGCTGGGGAGTTCCCTTCTTGAAAGCACAGAGGCGGAAAGGGATCTTGGAGTCATTATTGACTCCAAGATGAACGTGAGCCGCCAATGCCAGAATGCAACCAGCAAGGCCAGCCATACCTTGTCATGCATCCAAAGATGCAGCTCAATCCGGTCCAGAGAGATGATACTCCCCCTCTAGGCGACTTTGGTCAGGCCGCAGTTGGAGTACGGCATCCAATACTGGGCACCGTACTTCAAAAGGGATGTGGCCAGCCTTGAAGAGGGTTTAGAGGAGGGCCACGCGCTTGGTGAGTGAGCAGCAGGACAGGCCCTACTAGGAGAGACTGAAGGACCTGAACCTGTTCAGCCTCAGCAAGAGGAGGCTGAGGGGGGACCTGGTGGCTGCCTACAAGCTCATCGGGGGGGATCAACAGCAAATAGGCAGAGCCCTTTTCTCCCCAGCCACCTGGGGTGACAAGGAACAATGGTCATAAGCTGATGGAGAATAGGTTTAGGTTGGAGATCAGAAGGCAATATTTTACAGTTAGGGTGGCCAAAATCTGGAACCAACTTCCCAGGGAGGTGGTCCTCGCCCCTACCTTGAGCAAATTCAAGAGTGGGGTCTTGTGAACCCAGCATTCATTCCTGCCTGTGGCAGGGGGTCAGGCTAGATGATCTGTTTAAGTCCCTCCTGACCCTAGCTACTATGAAACTATGAAACTTCAGTTTTATAGAGACATAAATATTGGCTAGTTGACAACTTCCAGGACAACTGACAAACTGGTTTGGTCTGGTTTCTAAGGGTCCCAGAAATAAAATTGAAACTGACCAATCGAAAATGCTTTTTTTAAGAATGCATGTGTGTGTCTACACACACGCACACACGCACACACGCACACAATATCAGTAACTTTCATCTGTGCTGTGTGTACTTGGATGCTGACAGCACTCCTCAGTTTTAGATGTATTGGATTTCAGAGTTGCTTGCCACATACAGAGGAGGTCTTTGTTTGCCACAAGGATGTCTGTGAAGTGAGACTTACTCCATGTCAGTCTCTGAGGGTCAGCTTGCCCTAACAGTGAAGTTCTCTGTCAGGAGCCTTAGTACAAAGCACATCCCGGGCTGGCCTACAGGTTGCTCAACACACTCACTTTGGAGTAACATTTTCCTTGCTCCAGGATGCTCTGATCCTGATTCCTGAAACTGGACCCTGTCTTCCTGACCTACCTCCACACTCTTTGACCACAATTCACAATCCCAACTCATCCTGTAGCTGTGTGGCTCTGATTCCAAAACCTCAGCTCTTACCTTTAGGTCTGACTGCCCATGTCCCAGTAGCATAACGCCTTTCCTCTCTGCCATTGTAAAAGTGGCAGTTTATAGTGGGCAAGTAGAAATAAAGTTAGTGTTACCCAGCTTACAGGTAACCTTGTGGGTGGGCTACTGATAAGAGGCATAAACAGGTCTACAGCCCAGCTTTCATTTGCTTGCACTTTAAAACATGAAAACAAACATTTATCCCAAAGTCTATCTGGCTACTTGTGACAGCACAACAAAGATTCTCGGTTATAACGGCTAGGGAGACTCGAGACAAGAGGTGGGAAAAGGGTTGCATGCAGAGTGGCAACAGGTCTTCTTGAATTTGCTACATTCTCCAAATTTCCCTCCAGTCTATGCCCAATATTTAGAGATGGCTGGTTTTAATATTTTTATAAATGATCTCTGATTGTTTTTATTTAAATTTCTTTGTTTCACTGAAACTTTTGGAACTGGACTGAACCAGACTACTTGCGGACTTGGAAAGAGTCAATTAGCTGGAATTTATATACTTGGGAAAGTGGAAGCGTTTCTTATCTCCTTTCTTTCCCATTGCGGAATGCTGTTCCAGTTTCTTCTTTACTTTACTTTATGGTCTTCTCTGACAAGGCTGTTTTTGTTTTTACAAATTATCTAAGCATTTTAACAAAAATGTATCTATTATAGCAAAATAGCATTCAATCCATTTGGTTACATCAATTATTACTACTACTACTACTTTAAGATAAAGCAATGATATAGTGTATATGGATTATTTAATGTATAGTCTTCCCTTATCTCCTTTCAGGCCATATGCTTTGTTTAATTGTTTGATGGTTTCCTTTACTTACTGACCAAGTTAGCTGTCACATCCACAAAGGTTCACACTATGGTTACTCAGAGACAAGCTTTGGCCCTTCTGCTTAGCAACACTCCTGTACCTTAGTCTAGGCCCCTTGAAAATGGCCAAGGCTGGCAACATAAATCAAGGGGAAACCTCTAGGGAGAGGCCTGGCATTCGCTTCAACCTGTTCTTCTAAGGCAAAGCTACCCCAGCCTCTTCTCCTTTGTGACTATACAATGAGATAACTCCTACGCAGTAGCCTTCACAATCTTCAAGCCACACCTCCTCCCTTGTAGAGAGACAGCCTGAGAGATGCGTCTAAATCAGAGGCAGGCAACCCCTGCCTTGGGTGCCAGAGTATGCCATGCAATGGCATTTTGCTTGGCACACGCACCTTGGGGCAGACAGCAGGGAAGGGGATGAGGCTACGTTGCCACAAGGATCAGGCCCTTTGCAACTCCCCTGCCATCCTCCTCTGGTACGCCAACATCTTTAGATGTCGAGATTGCAGGTGTTTTTGGCACTCTGCCCAAAAATGTTGCCAACCTCTGGTCTAAATTGTGAAACATGATGTTATAAAGGAGAGAGGTGCTGTTCATTTTCTAGTGTATGACATGAGTTCATCATTAAACAGATAGTGAGAGGAATGTCAGGTGGAAATCATTAGTTTATCAATGAATGCAGAATCCTAATCGGTCAACATGCCTCCTATCCATAGAAAGATTTCTTTGGTAATATCTTTTATCAGCCCAACATCTTGCTAACTCTTCTCCCAAATACATAGTTAGCCCAACAAAAGATATAACCAAACACGGCTTTTCACATAATTCCCTGTGTCATCATATACTATGACCTTGCTGGTACATTCATATTGATAGATTATTGCTCAGACATTCCTCTTCTCAGTTGATGCCCAGATTTTGAAAACTGATTTGTAACTGCTGATATATACATCTCCAGCCATGCTTTGTTACTGGCACTGGGGTAAGTGAATCCAGTCCAGTAAATCTAAATGTTTAGGAATCACTTTGTTTTGGAGAGGGGGTTAGAGCTGTAATTTCTTTCCAACATTTTCTCCCCTAATCTCATATGTAATCAGCTAAGTAAACATAACACAATTATATATAATGGTCTTTATAACATCAAATGGACTTTGGGGGTGTTGAAGATTTTTTCCCCCTGTATTGAGAAGTAAATAATCACTATTAGGATTGAAGGTGAGGGTGAGTGCTTTGCCAGCTCAGACACAATTCCCCTTGACACCACTAAAAACAGGATTTTGGCAGTGAGCCTTGCCCCTATTTTCTCTGCCCCAAATTCCTGGCCCTTCCAGGAGCCCTGCTGCGTGACTGACACAGCCGCATAGGCTAGATCCAGCCCACAGACCATGTCTTTGACACTCCTGATCTGCATAGCTTCTTCCCTTCTTACTTCCATCGCATAGTCTAACAAGCCCAAGGGCCAAGCGTATGATGTGCTGTGCTCCACTTGGCTCTGTGCTATACGTATCAGAGGTGGCCAAGACTTTGTGGCTGAGAAATTGCCTGACTGCCACTCCAGTGCAGTGAGAAATAGAAAGAGTGGATTGCCTTATGTTGTCCTTCTAGCATGTACATACACTTGTTATTGTTACTAAAGGCTTTCTTGAGTTGTAATAACCACTGTAGATAATTATAATTAGCCTGAGTAATCTTTAGAAACCCCTCTTGTGTCTTTATAAGAGAGTGAAAATGACTTACTATGTACATATCATATTGCAATTAAAACATTCACAATGCCCTCGGAGTGAAAAGGTAATACCCTACCCACATGCGTTCTAAGAGTGAGACAGC